CCCCAGCCAGCCTTGCTGGCTGGGGAATTCTGGGAGTTGAAGTCCACGCATCTTAAAGTTGCCAAAGTTGAAAAGCATTGCTGTAAGGTAGGGATTACAAATGAAGCAGGAATAACAAGCATCTTCTTGTAACTAGATCTGGTCAAGTTTGGCCACAGGGAGCTGGACTCATCTCTGGATGCTTGACAAACAGGTAACGACAACATCCAAAGCATGGTTCTTTGTGGCAGATCAAACACTTGTGAAAAGGGGCAATCAATCAATCATCTTTATTTAGTCAACGGCCAGCAAAATTTAAAAGGACAAAAACAGAGTGAAACAAAGCAAATATGTACAATAATGTAGTAACAACTAGTAAAATAAATCACATAATAATATAGCATTCCCTGCTCTATTACTATGTTGATAACGTTTACTATCTGGGTCATATAAATCTAAAACATTAATAGGTATAAAATAAAAAACACTTGTGAAAAGGGGCTTGAGTCCTAGTTGGTGGGACTGGACAAAGTGCAGGCAAGAAAATGCAAGATATAGTAAACTATGACCCAGCATTGGATAAGCATCTTTAGCAAAAAGAAGTCGTAAAAGGGCACTGTGTTCCTAAATTAGAAGTCACCCGTACCAAATAAATAAATACTTTTATTACAGAAGCTCAGCTGAAATTCACGCCTGTGTTATCGGCTTGCAGGATCAGAGCTAAAAATCAGCAAAGGCTGTTTCTGAACCAAATCACAAAGGCCTTTTCAGGCAGAAGCTCTTCCCATCTGTATTCCTTGCTGGCAATTTGTCCCCAACAACTGATATTCAGAGACGTAGTGAAAAACGTTGTTTACGTCAACCTAAAGTCACTGGTAGAGAGAACGCATTTTAATCAAGCATCCAACCCAGCCTCCTCTTTTTACCTTCTTCTGTTTTATTCTTTTTATTTTTTCCTCCTTGGGAAAAAGACATTAACCCTATCCACTTTGTTAGTGGATTCCATTATAACCCTACTGCTTCTCTCCCATTGTTTCTGCCTGCCCGCTACATTCGGACACAGTGGGTGTGCTTCAGGTCCCTTCTATTAAATGTTGCCATCTTGTGGGACCAAGGAAGCACGCTTTCTCTTTCGCGGCCCTAGCCCTCCGGAAGAGCTCCCCCCCGAGATACAGATGATGCCCACTCTCCTGGGGTTCCAAAAAAGCCCTTAAAAATCTGGCTTTGGTCCCAGGCCTGGGGTTAATGTGTTGTGGGGGGGGGGGATTCCTGTTGCACTGTGTTTTAATAGTGGTTTTTAGTTCAGGCTGTTTTAGTTTGTCTATATTTCCAATTGTTTGAACTTAGTATTAGATTTTGTAAGCTGCCCAGAGTCTGCTGGAGTGGGCGGCTATAATAACTTTAATGAAATAAATAAATGTTACGTATTACAACATTACAGGTAGTCCTCAAGTTACGACGGCAATTGGGACCGGAATTTCCGTCACTAAGAGATGCAGTCGTAAAGCGCAATCACTTATCAATGGCAATCCCTGCAGTCCCGGTTGACCTTGTTAACCGAATCCCACAGTCATTAGGCAGGGCAACTTCCTGCCGGCTTCCCACAACCAAAGTCAGTGGGGAAGCCACCATGAAGTTGCAAGTCCCAGGCTGCAAGTGGCTGCTGCAAGGTGGGGGAAAAAGCAAGGGAGTGGGCGGGGATGCGGGGAGGGTTGGGGAGGGTGCACGAGGGTGCGAGGGAGGCATGGCAAGGCTTGGGGAGGGTGCACGAGAGTACACCGGGGTTTGCAAGGGAGGTGTAGGGAGGGTGCGCGGGGGTATGTGAGTGGCCGGTGCAAGTGCAGAGGGGCTGGGAGAGGGTGTGCAGGTGGGTGAGACTTACCCGAGTGACTTGTAACCTTCCCTTCCGGCTTCCCCGTTGACTAAGTGTGAGCCTATTGCCAAGCACCCAGATCATAATCGCATGACCCCAGGGGTGCTGGGACGGCCAGAAATCCGAGGAGTGGTTGTAACCACCATTCGTTCAGCACTGTTGTAATTTCAAACAGTCGCTGAACTAATGGTTGAAGGTCGAGGACTACTATACATGCACACACACACACATGCAGATTATATCTTCCTGTATAACAATATAGTATATTTATTAGTGGATTATATCGACCTATGTAAGATTCCTGCAACAAAATCTTTATATAAATAAGATGGTGTGGTCACCAACTGCCCTATTTCTTTAACTATGTACGTGATTTTATTTGCATCGTCCAAAGTGTTCCCAAACCATTTTGGTCTCTGGATATCAAAGTAGATTTTGACACTGCTTCCCTTTGGGGTTGTTTTGTTTTGGTTTTTTTAAATTTCCAGCCTAGCCTGCAGCCCTGGTGATTTCCTAGTGATCTCCTATCCCGGGATTAACCCTGTTTAGTTTTTTGAGATCAGCCAAGGTCTTATAAAAATGCACTTACTGGTTTTCACTCAGGAAAAATGGTGCTGAGTACGAAGTAGATGAAAACAGGGATGAATTCCAGAAACTGGAAGCGGGATTCTGCAAGACAACAAAGCAGTTTTCAACATACGTGTGGTTTGTTCAGGAACATTCAAAGCTACTTCCAGAGTCCTACTGCTGAATCCATAGCTGACAATTTAAGGGCAGATGCAATGCTAAAGCAATGCCTCTAAGAAGCAAGAGGCTTGAGAGAAGCCAGCAGTTTGCAGAAATATTTTAAAAAATCAACTTTGGGGAGAAGAAAATGGTGAGAACTGAGTATGTACTTGCAAGGGACAGAGACCTGGGTGTGCCAAGTGACTGAAACAGCACAGCAGAATGTACAGCAAAGCACTATGAGCAGCAATGCTTTCTTACAGAAAATGCCACTTCATTTCATAAGTAGAGTAATCGTCACTGCTGCTGACCAACGCTTTGCAGAACCCTTCAAGAGCACCTGAGCAAATCCTTCGGAACAGGCAAACAGAAACACAGAATTGATGGGAGCACTTGAGGCCATCCACCGGCTGCTCCATGCTGGAATCTAGATCAGTGATTCTCAACCTGGGCAATTTTAAGATGGACGGACTTCTGGGGAATTCTAGGAGTTGAAGTCCACCCTTCTTCAAGTTGCCCAAGTTGAGAAACATTGCCTTACAGGTACACTGCCTTAGGACAAATGGCTCTCTAGCTCAGTGTTTCTCAACCTTGGCAACTTGAAGATGGGTGGACTTCAACACTCTGCTGTACGGCCAAGG